ACGAAAGAAGCAAAAAGAGCTCAATGTAACCACAGATTCAACTGCTCATATTGATTTTAAACAGATGAATTAACACAGGTTATTGTTCTGACTCTTAGAATGACGCCTGCAGCTTTAAGCAGGGCGGGGCTAATGGTAATATAACAGCATGGAGGACTGTTGAGGGCCAGGCTGCGATGAAATATTTATTTTTATTATGGTGCTGATGACTAACGTGTGAGTTAGAACTGTTAAATGTGTAACAGGGAGGAGTCAGAGTATAGCCACGCCCCCTCCCTGAGAAGTAAACATGTTTTTGATACATCTGAAGCCTATAAGGTAGATTCCTGCAGCCTCGGCATTATTACAGGGCCTGACTGGGAAAGAGTAGGAGGAGGAAGAGGAAGAGGAGGAAGCTCATCAGTGCACGCTGCTTCCAATAATGAAAAGTCTGGGTCATTTTACCGGACCTTCAGGGCATGCGCATGTATCCATTTCACCGGGCCAGTTCAGGACCAACCGAATACTTGAACTGGGGAATGTGCTTTAAAATGGCCACTGAGTGGGACATGTGGTTAACTCGTGCCGTTTGGTTGTGACTCACTGAGAAATTATGTCAGCACACGTCAACAAAAGAACAGCATTTATAAAATTTGGACAGTGTCTGGTGAAGTTGAATGAAATGAAAAGAAAAGAAACGTTCGCGCTGCTTTCAGATCACTGTTTCTAAACTTCCAACGCAGAAAAATGCTGTGGAAATTCTTCCCATGTGTTCCCCTAAAGAGTGCTGTTAAAAACAACCATTCTTCTGGTCATTGAATGCCACTTCTTACAACATACAACTTCTCTATCCAGTTATTCACTTTGACAGATTACTGTCAGCAGATGCCTTTGGCAGCTGATCAGTGACATCATCACTCACTGCTGAAACAGTTGCGATATGCTGACGTCAAAGTCCCAAAAGGAGCGAGCTGTCGGATTCTCCCAGTCCATGTAGACGTTGTGCGGCTGCCTTTTCGTTAACGTTTTAAATATTTCTCACAGAGGTCGCCACCTGTGAGCACACTCGTGATTCCCGATGTTTTCCGTCCTGGAGAAGGGTTTTCCATCTGAATTTCCATGCAAGGCTTGGTCGGCTTACAGATATTTGTTTGATACCTGGTGCTTTTTTTGTTTTGACATCTGGAGTTTAGAAACCCAAGAATGCCCCAAATTAAAAAATGTAGACACGAATGAAGCTCCTTTTTTATTCCAGGGTTTGACACTATTTATATGATTACTTTATATTATTCTGATAGTTTTTCTGCATTAAACTCAGAGTAGGTTACATCAAACCCTCAACAATCTTTCATACCTTCATACAAAAGCGTTGTGGCTCACTAAGCTCGTTTGTTATGTGTTAAAACTTGTCTTCAGGGGTCCATTTCTGCCCTGTTGCTTTTATTACCACTGTGCCTGCTGACTCTAAGTGTCAGCCCTCGTCTTCTGCAGATTTAACTTCCTCCAGACGTTCTTTCTATTCGCTGCCAAGACATTAAGGGACTCCCAGTCGCTCCTTTGGTGGCGAGCCAAGTGGAGACAGCCGTCTGGGTTTCCCGTGCGTCTTTTATTCAGGATCAAACAATCAAAGTGACAAGATGAAATATTCAGCAGCGATACCTCGTCTGCTTATTTCTGCCTTTTTGTGAAAAAGCTGAGCAGGCTGTAGAGATGATTCTGGATGCTTAAGAGGAAGTCGAGTTGCCAACAGCCTTCTTCTCCATGACAGGAACAATTAGCTTCAAATGACTTTTTCTTAAAACGTTTCTATATTCTAATCAATGTTTTATTATTTTCCACATTTTAGATGTCATTCTGCCTTGGTGCAAGTTAAAATAATTATTGTCCTGGGGGTGTTGAAGTCATTTAATTCAATTTATTAAAATAAATGAGGATCAGAATGTCCAAATAATCGAAACATATCAAATTAATATGCTTTTCAAATGTAATCCAGAATAGATATAGACTATGTTGTTCATTCATTCATTCATTCCTTTATTTATAAAGCACCTTCTGCTACCTTACTAATATGTTGTGTTAAGAATGCATGACATAAGTGATAACATTTGGAGTGAGAGGACAACCACTGCCTTGAATAAACTAGTTCTTTATTCTAAATGATAAAAACTGGAGAAGATTCAGCAAAAGTCTTTGCTGATTCGGCACGATACAGATTTTTCTGTAGCAGATGTAACAATTAGAAACCATTTTTATCAATATGCTCTAAATAGGTTAAATCTAAACTCCTATAAATAGTGCATTATTAATATTTAGAGCAAACATTCAGTGTATTGTTTAAAGGCAAGACAGCTTTACTAAAAGGTCATGTTAAAAATGACAAGGTGTTCCACAGGGCATCACTCTCGGATTTATTTTTTCCCCCCTAATTTCATCATTGAATTCCTAAATATTCCCACTTACTTCATTAATGTCCCAATGGAAATAATTTATAAGTAAAATCACAATATAAAATATAAATGAAGAAATTTAGATACTTGGAATTTCTTCCAGTTTATTTATAGTTATGGTAAAAAAATTTTCACAAAAAATGCTGTTAGCTGAAGTATTTTTGTTGTGTTCTTGGTAAAATGTTGTGCTAATTTTAATATGAATTGATGACTCTGTCCTACATTCAGAACCCCATAAATAAATTAATAAAAAATAATTCTAGATCAGTTTCATTACATTTGATTTCTCTAGATATAATCTGCATTAAGCTTCATGTTATTATTATTATTACTATTACTATTATTATTATTATTATTATTATTATTATTATTATTATTATTATTATTATTATTATTATTATTATTATCATCATTTTTAGTTACAGTTACAACTGATCAATGATGTTGATAAAATCGAAAAAAACGTTTTATTACAACTTATTTTATTTTCAGAAAGGCACAAAACTCTAATCCTGAAATTGTTGCTGCGTTTAAGAAAAACAAATTATTCTCTTTGATTCAAGTATTTTGAAATAAGAGTCAATCAAATAATTTGAAATATATATTTTTTAATTCAAATGTCTTTCTGAAGCTTTTGGAGCTAAACAAAATTGGTCTTTATGTATAATATCTGTGCATCTCTGAATGACTTTTGTTTTTGAAGAAATTACCTCATTTCTTCTCTTTGCAATAATAAACCAGCTGTTTGTTCAGGTAATGAAGTGTGAGAAGCTGCTTGGGCTCTCTCTCTTTGTGTTTTTGTGTTTAGTGTCGATGAAAGTTGTTTGCAGGTTTATCGGCATTCTATACATGTTCTTAAACCCCCTCTTGACACGTCTCAAGAGAATTTTCTCTCAATAAATTCAAATTCTGCCTGGAGGGGAGCTTGAAGTGACAATCAAAGTCATCCTGCTGAGACAGGATGTTTGTATATTTAGGTGCAGAAGATATTTTTATGCTTTACAATAAAAACCTGTTGTCATGTGAGAAGCAGGCTGGTTTTCTGATGATCATCCATGATGCTTTGAAGCTTTTCTAAAAGAAAAAAAGGTTTTGATTTAAACAGTATCATCTGAACCACCGAGGTAGCTTACTAGAATAAGAGCCCCAACAGAAAAATGATGCATTCAAAAGTAAGGAATTAAATATTCATAACTGAATGCACATCTAAATATTAATGCTGTAGTATTTACCTAAAATGCAGGGTGGTGAGATCTCTTATGTCTAGATCTTTCATCAGCGTTCATGTAGAATCTGACAGGACCAGAACATTTGGGTCTCAGCTGCTATCTGACTAGCTGTTAGCCTATTAATCCTGAATGACAAACTCTATTTCTCTGAACGGAGGCTGTTTAGGGAGCTACAGCAGGTAAGATGGGAGTTATTCTCAAATTTTATGCAGAAACGCACGACATGCATGCATTATTTTATTTTCAAAGTTAATTGTTTAATTTAATTATGATAATATGAATGTATGCATGTGCACCAAGCCAATTATTTCCTGTTATCCAATCATAGCAGTAAAAAAATGCCTTCCGCTCTTTCCTTTCTTCTGAATGTGTTTTTGTGCAGGAACGCGTTGGTTTGACTGGCGTCATCGTAGCTCTTTCTGGTCCAATCCCAGCTCCACTCCTCGTGGCTACAACATGAAAAATGAACGTAATAACACAAAGGAAGCATCGCATTGCATCAGCAGTGAACCCCGGGGGTTTGAATTAGGGTTCAGCATCGTTTAGCAGTTTTCTTTTGGTATTTTTATGAGACTGGGCGCTCATGAGGACCTCCTCCCTGCTGCTGGAGAAGATGCAGCGGTGTGTCTGCAGGCACGCGCTGTGATCTGTGTGCAGGCCGTGGAGAGTTGCAGATGAGATGTCCTCTGGGCCTCACTTGCAGCTCGGTGTGAACAGACATCCCTGCAGGCAGCTGAGTGTCTGAGCTAGCTCAGAGGCTCAGCGGGACTTCAGTGAAACTGTAACTCTGTTTGGGAGATAAAGGACAGCGGGAAAGACGCCGGCACATGCTAACGTGTCTTATCAGCAGCCATGTTAATCCATTTTCCACTGTTGTGCTGCCGTTTCACAGCAAGTCAGATGAAAGATTATAAATGATTAATTTGGGAGTTATGACTCCCAAGTCCTGTTTTCTCCTGCAGATACTAAATCACAGAGGAAGAAAAGCGAAGCTAGGTGCTGATTAATTCAAACATTAATTCTCCTTACAACAAGCCTCCCGGTCAGCTTTAAATGGGCCCATTGTTCAACTCAAATTCGTTCTCTCAAAACACAATTGTCTTTTCTTGTCGCCCAGTCACCAATTAATCTGGTGTAATCTGGAGGGCGTGCCAGTGGCAGGCTGGTTCATCCCAGCCACTCCGACTGATTGTGTTCAAACAGGAAAATGGGACTTATTGCGTGTTTTCAGCAATTCTGCTCTGATTGCACGGACCGGTCCGATAAGCACCAATCCTGCAGGAAGGGCTGGTTGAGCGCGAGCCAGCGGTCAGGATGGTGAGGCAGAAATCAGCGCACGATGGGTCACGCTCACGCTAAAGGGTCAGGAGAACTAATTAGACGGGATGAGTGACAGCTGATCCGTGGGGTGAAAGCAATTAATACCAGCCAGAATGGAGCAGGGATGATCCGGCGCTGCATCTGGGATGAAAGTTTAATACCTGAAGTTTAAATATGAAGGAACTGCTCTTCCTGCAGGTAAAGGACACACTTTAATCCCACCTCACTTCCTAACAGCTGTATTTGGCCACTTGTGAGATGGAATTCTGCTTTTTCAAGCTTGAGTTGGCAGTTTTCAGCTCCACCCATGGTGTCTTGCTCTTGAGTGACGATGCAGAGACGGACCGACAAGATGAATCCAGGCAGGAGACCCTGGGTCGGACCCAGAACTCTCTTGAGGGATTATGTATCCTTTTTGTTCTGGAAACACCTTGAGACCCTCCAGGAGAAGCTGGAGAGCATCGCTGAGGAGAGGGAGGTCTAGGTTTCCTTCCTGGACCTCCATGACCTTGGACAAGTAGCTGAAAGTAGACAAATGGATGGAGAGACAGTCCAAACCTAGTCCAGAACTCCTCCCTGCAGCTTTGACAGAAGAGAGTTGTAACGGACGTGTCTGAGGATAAATATCTCTGACATTCATAGATCTGACTAGCTGGAGGCTCCAGGTTGTGATTTATTGTGATAATTTCAACATTTCATTTGTCTGAAGACGCCTGCGTTGTTTCTTCTTCCTAAAGCTACGGAGACTCTAGTGAAAGGCTTCGGTTATCTCCTGCTGCACAGATATATGGACGCTTCAGATGTTTCCTACTGTGACTGATGCCAGGATGCAGCTTCGGTAGCTGTAAACAACATTATAACTCAGGGACTCCATCGGTTTTACTCAGCTCAGCTCAAAACCTTAACATGAACTCCATGAATAAAACGCGGTCAGACCTTCATTTACAGATGAGAAACCAGAAACTTTGCTTTTTAACTGTTCAGTTTCACATTGTCACATTAAAACTTCAGCAGCATCCAAACCTGGTTAACCTTTTACAGGCGGGGTCAAAGGGCACAAACCTGCGATCTCACCCGCCACCTCCATCAGTCGCTGACATTTTCGCTTTGCCTTGGCGCCGTCGGTGAGACGAGCGGCTGCAGAAAACTCATCTCCGAGGTGCTTTTTTTTAAATCCATGCTGATTTGTTGCTGTAGACATGGTGAGAAATAAGTTTATTTGTCTTTATTTTCTATTTTATTTTTGAATTCAAAGAAAATAAAGCCAAAAGCGATTTGACTGAACTTCTATTTATTGTTTTTTATTCAGTGCTTTCAATTAATTAAACCAATTCATAGTTTTAGAAAATGAGTAAAGTTCCACATGAAGTTTAATAAATTTTTTAGTCTAATTTAGATCATCGCCATGGCAACCTGAGCTCATGGCTAATGGAATAAACCACCAGCAAACATCTACAACCCCTTCACTTTTGGAGGCCATCTCGTTCAAAAATGGTTGCCAAAGCTAATCAGCTTTGGCCATGGACGTAATTTTGGGGGGGAACAGGGGGGACATGTCCCCCCCTACTTTTTCCAAAGTCAAGTTTTGACCCCTGCATTTTTTACCATCTAAAAACAATATTACGCTATATTAAATTGACACTGGTTGAGCTCTTGGACCAAGTGGAAAACAACCGTTTGTGTTGAAGTCTGTTTCCCATTAGAGAATACTGTAAAGATATACCCCACCCCACCGTGTCCCCCCCACTTCTAAAGTGAAAATTACGTCCATTAGCGAGCTAAAACTAAGAAAAGGCTAGAAGTCAGTCAGCTTTTCCCATGCTGAGCTAAACTTTCATGTTCGAAGAGTCGAATTGTCATTCATCACGAGATTCGGAGCCATGAGAAGATCTTAGTTTAAAGTTTCAGTTTTTATGGCAGATTTATCAAGCTTTTCCTGTTTACTCAAACCTTAGATTAGTTAAATTAAATGTTTCAAAGGTTGTCACTTTCTGAAGAAAGAATTTCCAAGTGTTTTTAAAGCATTGACATTCGCTGGAGAAGGGATTTTTGGTTCCCTGGAGAAGGATTTTCTGAGGATTTGTTAAGCATTGACACTTCCTGGGAAAAGGATTTCAGTTTGAGCTCGAGGACAAACTAATTATGTTTTATCTGGTTTCTGATTAAGAAAATACAAAAGTGTCTCTGTCTCTGGTCTAAGAGGAAAACTAAGGAAAATAGGACCGCAATCTACATGTCTTTGTTAAATACTCAAACTGAATGAAAATGTAGTGACATTTAATCCCTTCCATGTTTTTTAAATTAAACTCTTTCACCTTTGAATTAAAAATTTTCTACATTTTTAAATGTAGGAATTTAGATCTTAAACCAGAAATAAAATCTTACTGATTTCTTTATAATGGTTCAGTTTATGTATCGGCTGCTGTTTCCCCCATTAGTGTCCTTTAACTCGTAGGTCAAAGGTCACTCTCTAAAACGACTCGTTCATCCTTGAAAAGCTTCGTTCTACGTGTCTCAGAACTCCTCCAACAGGCGACGAGTCACAGAAGCCTCAAAGGCTCGGGTCGGCTTTGATTCCAGCGCTCTGATGCAGAGACAGTTTCTTCATGAGGCCCCTTATGATGTTTGACTTCATTCATTCACAATGAAGGTGACCCCCCCCCCCCCCACACACACACCCACACACACACACACACACACACACACACACACTCCGAGTGTTCTCATTCATTAAGAGCTGACTGGAGCTGACACAGAGGCTGTTAACTGCTACAAACTCTGTTTTAGTAACTGGCCATGGATGACATCATCTTGGTTTAGGTGATAGATTTTGTTTCCTTTCAGGGTATTTGGGCATCATCTATGCAGCAGCTCAAAGTGTCCCAGTTCTGATGTCTCATGCTCTACGTGACCCAGATTTGATGTTTTCTGATCCTGGCAAAGAGGAAAATGCTGCTCAGATTCACTGTTTGCAGATCTGGACCAAACACAATCGTCTCGCACAGTCAGTGATTTCCTTTTGGTCTCCACTTCCTGTAAAAGTTGTCCTACACCCTAGCTGAACGAGACTCACCTAAAATGTTTCCAGAAGTTTCCAAAAATATAAAAATACAAAAACTTTTAAGCTTGAATTTTGTTTTCCTCACCGGCCAGTGACATGTCGGTTTTAATCGACGAATCTGGCTTTTTGTGTCAGATCGTAAATAACGAAACTTCTACAGCAACTTCTAGGCTTGCAGAAAATAACAGAAAAAAACATTTTTCTTACACAATAACTAAACATTAGATGATGAATGTGTGGTTTGCACACTGAATTTTCTGCAGGGATATTTATTTTGATCGCTGAATAAAAGATCAACCAAGGATTTTTATTCATCAACACATTTCTGCACCTGCAGGGAGGAAACCAAATGACTAGAAAGAAGTGGTTACCATGAGAATCAGACCTCTGCTGTTTGGGGTATGATTAAGATTTATTTCCTTTTTGAAAATATACCCATAAATTTGTCATACGTATGAAAACGACTTTACAACCTTGAACATTTTATCACAACAGGATCACACAAATTAATACCCACATCCCTGCATTACAAAGACTTGCCCTTAATTGTTTTACGGTTTCATTTTTTTTCCCTCAAAACATTTAAAACATAAATAAAACAAAACAAGAATCAAGTACAAATTCCAAAACAGCCTCCTGTGAAACAGCCAGAAGCTCCTTGTTAGTCCCTGGAGAAATACCCGGACACGCTAACTTTAAATGGTTCGATCAAACAACAATGGGGGGGGGGGGCTTGGGTTCAGCACATAAATCTGTAAGGCTCAACTTTGTCTTGTTCAAAACGGACGCCGGCCAGTAAATCTTCGCCTTTGTGTCTGGACACAGACTCTTTTATATCATATCGGGGGATTTGTCCGGCAGGAAAATCTGCCGATGATTTATAATGTTATAAAACGGGTTTAACGTCCTCGTCCTGTGGCGACGGCTGCTGCTCAGGAAAACCAGGCTGAAACAGACAAAACGGATCTGATTCTAACTACGTCCATTTATAAAAAAGCCCCGTCCAACGCTCACGTCAAATAGGGGAATGTTTTCAACATGTATGCAGCATTTCTTTAGGAGTGATTAATTATGGTTTTGCATACAAACATAGATAATCCTCTGCTTTAATCAACAGGGACGTTACCGTGGTTACAATAACAAAAACACAACAAAATAAAAGCCTCAAAAAGGCTTCAAACCCCGACGTTAATCGTTTCATCCCACGAGAAAGGAAATGCGTGCACATGCACAAAAAACACGCGTCGCACGCGTCACATTCACCGGTGGACACAGCACTCACGCCTTCCACTCTGCAGCCAAATGGGTTTGGGACGGTTTAGTCCTGATCTGCTGAAACAGCTCTGGCTCAGCCCTGTTCTGATATGTTGGTTATAGTTTTATTATCTGTATGAGGACATGATGTCATATAAACACGTTTCATAGGTCACTTTTATATTCACACGTCCACTTTGTCACGAGATCACCGTCAAACCGACACCCACCACAGGAACACGTCACTTTCGTTGGTCACAAATCCACAGAATGTCGTTTTGCGGCTGATATGTGTCGCTGCCTCGAGTCGGTTTCAGATCATTTTCATGTTGACCCGCCGGGGGCCGCTGGTCTCCGCCGCATCGTTGGCGGCACCGTTGGACTTCCGGGGGACGTACTCAATGTCAAAGTTGTTCTTGTGACGCCCTTTTCCCCGACTCCATGCAAACAGGAGCAGGAAGCAGAACACGACCACACCCAGGAAGGACAGGCAGCCCATAGCCGTGGAGATGATGATGGTCTTTAGGTCGATGGGGACAGTAATGTTGTACAGAACAGTTCCATTCCCCCACGTGCTGTTAGAGTCCATCAGGTAGTTTGAGCTCCTGTTGCTGTAGCTAAATCTGTCCCCGGTTCCAAGGCTTTTCACGGTCAAAGATGCCGACAGGGTAGCGTTCCCAGCAGGGTTGCTGGCGATGCACAAGTACACCCCGCTGTCATGCAGCTCGGCTTCTTTGATCTCCAGGGAGCCGTCTGCCTGGACCCCCACCCTGCCGCTGCTTTTGGTTGTGACGTAGCGCCTGTGAGGTGTGATCCAGACCACGGAGGGGCGCGGTGCTCCTTCTGCCCTGCAGCTCAGACGGGCAGGCTGACCCTCGTCGGCCATCAGGGTCGCGTTGGGTCCGATCCGTGGCTTAGTGCAGGTCATGTACCTGGAGACCAGAGGCTCTTTTAGTTCACGCAGAGCTCTACCCCGGAGGTGCTCAGGTGCAGTGCACTCAGGCTGGATGTCCAGGATCTGCAGTGAGGGAGGCTTGTGGCTGTTGAGGAGCCACAGTAATCTGCAGTCACAGACTAACGGGTTTCCACCCAGACAGAGCCTCTGGAGGCTGTCTGCTGAGGAGAAAACTCCCCTCTGGAGAGTGTCCAGGTGGTTCTGCGACACGTCCAGGAGCCGAAGAGATTTAAGGCCCACAAAAGCCAAAGGCTCTATGGAAAGCAGCTTAGCCCCTTGGAGTCGAAGCTCCACCAGATGATGGAGCTGGTCCAGCTCTCCTTGGTGGATGTGCTGGATGCGGCAGTAGGACAGGTTAAGGTGCGTGAGGTTGGGCTGCCTGCGCAGTGCTGCGCCAGGAAAGGCAGAGAGGTTGGTGTTGGTTATGAACAACGTGGTGAGGTTTAGTCCATGCAGAGAAAGGGGAGGCAGAGTCTCCAGCCACGGCCAGAAGTCGATCTCCAGGTGACGAAGACGGGTCAGCCTCTTAAAGGAGAAAGGCTTCAGGAAACTGATGCTCAGGTGGCGCATGCGTAGCTCAGCCAGATTGTGAAGATGTGCCAGAGCATCAGTGGGAATCACCGTCAGGTTGGAGCGTTCTAGAGTCAGACTCTGAAGTCCAAGAAGTCCAGTAAACGCCCGCTGAGAGATGAAGACCAGCTCATTATCTCCAACATCCAGAGACGTCAACCTGCGCAAGTCTTGGAATGCGTGATCGAGAAGGACGACAAGCCGGTTGTGACTGAGATCGATGTGGGTGAGGTTTGTCAGGCCGGACAGCACCCCTTCAGGGACCAGCTGGATCACGTTGCTCCGAAAGTTAAGAGAGCGGAGGGCCAGCTGGGAGCGGAATGAGCCGGGCTCTACCACGCTGATCTGGTTGTCACTGAGGTCCAGGTCCTCCAGCTGCAGGAATGAGGAGAAGTTGTCTGGCGTAACGATGCGTAGCTTGTTCTTGCTCAGGTCCAGGACCCGCGTCTCGATGGGGACGCCCTCGGGAATGCTGGGTAAGCGCTTCCGGTAGCAGGTCACCGACTTGGTCTGGGGAGAGCACTCGCAACGGGCGGGGCAGCTCAGAGCCGAGTGGGCGAGGAGAAGCAGCAAGGCCCCGCCCAGGAAGAGGTGGCAGTGGTGCGGGACTGGCTGTCGCATGTCTCTTTTACCCACGATGCCCTCTGTCATGCCACAACTTCTTTCCTACGCAAAGCATCGTCACGAACAAAGCCCTGTAAGACACAACACAGAAGAACTCAGGTAAAAGCCACTTAACTCAGGCAGTCAGCACAGATCACACCTTCGTACTTTTACAACCTCCAACACTTTATGTCTCCCTAAACTGCCAAGTCTTTTCTCCTCTTAATGAGCCGTCGCTTTCCTCAGCCTAGTGGATATAATGGAATTAATGTCACAGCGGGGTGAGACATTGGGAGAAATGGAAATATCAGCTGCAGAAAAGTGTGAACGTTCATCGCTGCGTTAGAACAAAAGGTTGCAGGCTAAGTGGAGATGTTTTATAAGCTGTTTCAAACCCACGGAGAGAAGTAACCCTTGTCAGACTGCAGCCGTGTGGATCTGTTGGTGCAGGTTATGTGTGAGTTTTGCATAGTGAGCGTTGGTCTCTGTTGCCTGGGGTAGGATGGGGAATGTGGGAAGTGTTAAAAATAAAACACAAACCAAATTTAATTATTCTTAAACCCACAGAGTTTTTAAAACTCACCCTTTCTGGATGATTAGAAATAAAGATATAGCACCACAGCTGAAGGAATGAGCACACTCCGTCCTCTCATTGGTTCATTGTTTCTCTCTACAGTAAACACACACAGTCTATTTATAGATATTTTTATCACCCACGGCCAGAAGGCTTTTGTTACAAAAACATCTCATGAAGCCCTGGATTGGATTTTAATGAAACTCCCAGGAAGTAATAAATGGACGTGCACGTCTGATTAGCTCCTGGACAAAAACCAATTCAACATGCCCACCACAGCCAATCGTAACCGAGCTCAACAAACACAAACGCGACCAAAACTCAGTCAGTTTTAGGTGTTGAGATTAAAAAAATAGGTTATTCTATCACTCATCATCTTTAATCTCGTAATCCATAGCGTCGCGGGAGCTGCTGTCTTCAGGAGAGAGGCGGGGACGTCCTGGACAGCTCGCATGGCGATAAAGCTGGCGGAGATCCACGAGAATAAGTAATAAAAAAGCTCTGCAAAACGTCTAGCTCCATTCCTCCTGGCTTCTGATTAGTGCTGCCATGGTTGCTAGGCGACAGTACAGCCACAGAGGAATGGGCAGGAACACATCTGAGAGCTAGACTGACCAATGTCAGTCACTCACTTCTGCTCGTTGTGGTGAATGTCGGCCTAAATCCACCAGATGGGCCGGGTCCTCCAAAGGATGCGGCCCCTGAATTTGCACACAGCTAATGCCACATAGCCATTAATTGAAGCATTGACCTTCTCGCTCTGAGGCAACAGTGCTAACAACTGCACTGCCACGAAGCCCCGAGTTGTTCACGACTTGTTTTCAGATGAGCGACAACTTTGGGTCAAAATCAAGAAGTCCAGACTAGTCTTAGCCAGTTGCAACAGAAGACAAACATGGTTGGTGAGCTGTTAGGAAAACATCCCATCATGCACCAGACAGGAACTGGTCCAACATCTCCGTGACCATCTCGGCTAATTTGCCTAAGCAAACACAAACATGGCTCCGCCTCATTCATGTTTGGAAACTGTGACATTATTTGAAAATGTTTTAGGAGCTAAAAATTTAAAATAAAATGATCTCAATTCTCAGACGTGAAAAGCAGAGACAGCTTTGGTTTTATAAAGAGTGCTGTTCAAAGTTTTGTTTGATCCTAGATTCATCTGAGTTCCTCGTCAGGGTGAAGCAGGACGGCCGTTTTCTGCAGCGCATGACAGTTTTAACGATGCTTTAGGAGCACAAAACGAGCTGAAAGGCTTGCAGCTATTTGTTGATTTCCCCTTCTCAATACTTGTTGTGCACGTTGTTCGGGTCCCTATGGAGACGCGGCTCGCAGCGGGTAAAGCTGAGTTGTAAAACAAGCCGAGCCTTCTCCGTAGTGCAGAAAGACATGGACCTGAACATGAGACCTCCTTCCAGCAGCCACAGGTTGTTGAATCGACAGATGGCTGTGTAGAAAGAGAGCTGGGACATAATTGCCTCATTACCCGCAGAAGCTGCTCACTACCTTCACCAATTAGGTGTGCAAAGAAACATCTGAGAGCTGCAGGAATATGGATGAGCTAAAGGAGAGATTTAGGAAAGCTCTGTTTCCTGACGCAGACATACCTTCTGACAGCGAGGTGAGCCACATTCACAAAACAACCAGCGTGAGGCATCCTCCCCTCTTCCTAGAGGCTCGCATCTCCTCCTCCCATCACTTTGCTCTAATCTTGGCATCTTCTCCTTCACACATCCTCCACCTGACTCCTTCTCTCCCACCGGTTCTGCCGCCTAGCCTGGCGAAAACCCCGCTCCGTTCATCAGTCCCCGCAGGCTGGGGGGGGGGGGGGGGGGGGGGGGGGGGGGGGGGGGGGGGGGGGTTATCGATCGCAGCGCAGGCACATCAGATGCCAGGAGTGTAGCCTTTAACAAAGAGCTGGCCGTTGCCATGGCAACCACAAACCCTGACTCCCATCCGCTCCGTACATCGTGCCAATCAAATTAATGGAAAAAAAAGGAGAGGATGCAAGCCAGTAAAATAAAATTTTCATTCATTTGTTTTAATCTTGGTGAAGTTTTGGTCTCTGAGCTGGATGTTTAAAGCCGTCCTTCAGCTGTTTGTCCACCTGTCTCATGCACGTCTCCCCGCCTTATTGTCCGTCCACCTCCCTGCCTCTGTCTACTAATTACAGCTCAGCTGTCTGCCGTGGCAGCAAATCAGATCTGCTGAAGTGTCGCCAAACCACCAACTTTATTAGGCTCACGTCACAAAACACAACATCAGAAAACGAAGAGAATTTGGTGCCTTTTCCAATAAAAGTGCAGCTCAATGACAGATATTCTGTCAATCTCATCCTTGAATTGAAATTCCTGTTCAGATCTTGCTCCAGAGCAGAGCCTTGAAAATGATGTAGCTTTGATTCTTTTGAAGAGCTTCTCTTTGTTTGATGTCTCGATCCATATCTGACACAGCGAGTCAGCTCTCCTCCTTCTGGTGTCTCTCTTTGTGTTTCACTCACAGACCCTGAAGACATGGAAAGGGTGGAGGAGACGAAGCACGGCGGCATCTTTTTATCGGCCATCGCCACAAGGTGAGAGGTGGGCTATGATGCTTTTGCCTACACTTGTTCAACAGCTCATATTCACATTAAATGCATTAGGACATCTAAAAATAAATTTAGACATAAAAAACATCATGTTGTTTCTATTAAAGGTGCAACATGTAGGAACAAAGTAAAAAAATTATATCTTGTGGTCAAATCTGGTTACTGCATCTCTGCTTGTATTTTTTTAAAATTATATCTATATTTAAAAATAATACTTAATTAAGAGAAGAAAAAGGTCCAAAGACCCAATAGTGGCCCCAGAGCCAAAGGTTGCAGACCACTGGTATAATGTACATCAGTCTTCCTGCAATTACTAAGCAAAGAGGTTTTCTCTGACCAAAACCTCCACACTGTTTTCAAAAATATCCCACAGAGGCTATTATTTATTTGTCACCAGGGAGGCAAAAGGTCTCCCGTTACCATAGCATTGTGTCGCTAACCAGTCATGCTAACATGCCGCAAAATGTTCACGTTTTCATTACTTCCCAGACTTTTTCTGCTGTGGAGAAGTTTGACTTTCACAGTGCTTGATAATTTCCTCCAATAAAAATTTGGAGCACTTTGTGGCATTTAGGCCATTTAACATTAAATGTCAGCAGATAAAAGCAAAGGGCAGCTCATTAAACAGGTCAGAAGAGATTTACATACTTTCCAATCCCTACAGGACTGAAAAGTGTTTATAAAACAATTCCAAACTTCCGTTTTAATGTTTGAATCTGCGCTATCCGCTATTACGTTATTACGCCTGGAGGAAAGGAAGAGTAGCTCCACACAGAAAAGCTGCAGCTGGGATTTGAACCTGCAGCCTTCTGGTTCTTCTAGTTCAGAACTTTGTTCAAAACTTTAAACTTCATATTCTTTAGGTATTTCAGTCATGAAGGTTTGAACGATTTATTTTGTTTAAACTTCATGTCATAGAAAAAAACAGCTTCAGCCTTTTCAGCATTCAAACAGCATTTCTGAAAAAAGTGGATCGGTCACACGAAGGAGACATGGACATTGTTGTTCCTGTGTGTTTTACCCTTGTTCTGCCATTTGTAAATGCTTGTGCTTGTTATTGTTCTGATTCTCCACGCTTTGCTCTCCTCCGTATTTCACCAGGAGTTTTTCAGAGGCAAAGTTTTCTCACCTTCTCTGTCTGTTGTTTATACATCAGTGTTACCTGAAGGACACTCACCATATTCAGTTACTTTCTAATTTTAGTCTCGGGAGGAGGAACTCATCCATTTTTCATGGTATAAGTAAACCACAACTGATTCGTTGGGCTCTTCCTCATTCACCAAAATCAAATTTGCCCGAGCATATTACTCCACTTTGTTCCTGCCCCCATTTTCATAATCACATTCCCACAAACAACTTGTGTGTCATTTGGATCCAATCTTTTTATTATTATTTAGCTCCGAGTTTCAGCGGTCTGCACAGAAGCCATCTGAGGCCGGGTTTGGGATTATCTTCAGCTAAGCTTGTGTGAAGGCCCAACATCCATAATAAAACCACCCAAACATCCAACACGCACAGCCGCGGTGGTTCGGGGAACATTTTCACACAAAGCATCCGTTTGAGATGATGCCAAACCACCGGAACACAGACGTTCCTCTAAAAAGGTCAGCTGTTAACGTTGGCTAATCCATCTCCAGAAATAAAAGGGGAGAAAGAGCCGGCACGTGTAATATTGCCTCTTGTTGTTCTCCTGCTGTCCACAAAACTCATGGGAGATGTTTGTACTCTCCTTATAGGAGCTAGCTGCAATTGTTTGGTTCCCGCATCGATCCTAAATATTGATCCGAGTCCATGCTTGATCTTAAAAATGCAACAGAAGCGAGTTGGGATTTCAGAGGAAATTAAAGGTGCAATCACGCCAAACAGCGAGAAGCATCGTCCAAATGAGATATCTCATTTATTTTAAGACATAAAAGACAAAAAGGATGATTCTTTAAATAGATATCATGGAGCAGTGACCGTTATTAGGTATGTTACAGGTTAGTGAGAGCTGAGGCGAAGAGGTCCGCTGCAGAAACATCCGACATCCAGAAACACGAGACGTTTAAAGCAGAACAGAATCCAAACATTTGAAATCAATGGCGGGGTTCGGAAGTTCGTCTGGTTTTAATATTAATCAAATTCTGTAAAGACTAGAGCCTCAGATCTAAACTTCAGACCTCGTGAGCCCCGATAGAAATAAATTCACTTACCTGCAAAATAATGTAAAGTAGGTCATCGCACAAAATAAGAGCCCATTGTCATGACCTGACGTTTTGTATTTTTATGCTCTTTTTCAGCAGATCTTTGGGACTTTTCATTCCCAGATTCAAGCGTCTAATTCAGTCAACAGCATGATTCATCTCAGCGAGAGAAAGGCAGAGAGCCAACTAATGCATGAATGAGCTAATATGCATAAAAAAAAGAAATGGACAAGTCCAACTAAACCTTTTGTAAGGAAACTGCACTTCCTGTTAGACACAACCTACATTTGCACGAATTAAACTAAATTACAAATCTACCGGCGTTAAAAGTTTTGTGGTTTCTCACATTTTCGTGATACCTTCTCCTCTGGTTCCTTGGAAAGTCTCCCCCTCTTAGGAAGTGTGTCAGCGAGGAGCCTGACATCTATTCAGAGTTCAGCCTCACAAATTTAGGAAGTGATTTTTCCTCGTTAGCCATCATTAACCGGAGGAACGCGATGAACTGGAGTGCTGGGTGGATCTCCAGAGCAGCTGGTTCATCAGACAGATGTTTGAACTCATGTGGACGTTTAGTGCCAAAGCTGCACCGCGTTCTCGCCGGCTGCAGACCAGATTGAGTTCAGGCTGAAACATAAGCTGCAGAGTTAGGAAGAGACAACCTGGACTGAAAACCAGCCAGTGGTTTTAAGCTTTTCTTCAGCTGATTAAAACATTTTTCTGGCTATCATTTATGCTTCTATTAACATTTTCCTTCTGCTGTCACATGAATCTGAGTCTGGCTGAGAATCAGGAAGCATTTAGAGGCAAGCACACATATCAACAGTAAATATTGGCTGTGTTTCTGGAAGCTTGCTCCCAGAACCCTCTGATATTTTTTTCCTGGAGAGATGTTTAGTTAAAGTCGTTCCTCTTTACGTCCGACCCTCAGCGAGGGATTAGGCGGTCTTCGCTGGAACTGAATAACACGAGGGGATTAGCACTTTTGCCTGTCACCAAATCAGTCTGACGGATTAGCAATCTCCACTGTCGCTCTGGAGAATTCACTCCAGCTCCAAACAAATTCAAGTCAGCGTGACGGCCAAGGTGACATTGGACTGAGAGTCCTTTTCATCAACTCCTTCTGGCAGCTTCTGGCACCAGGCTGGGAACGGACAATGCTGGCTCAGGAATATCAGTGGTCCGGTGAGTTTACAGGCTCCGGAGCAAATATATCCAAAGAGCCGCATGAAGGCGGATTTAGTTTTCTGACGTTTGTGCTTTAGAGGTCTGAAAAAGGAAGTTTCTTCACACAAATCTAAACCCATATTGGCCCGATGAAGAACCTAATTATAATTCTGCTTGTAATGGTTTTACATACATGTTCGGATCTGACCAAGAACAGTCGTGACTAAAAGTTTTTTAGATGTTTCTGACAGATGTTTCCATGGTTACAGAGCTTTCAGCATTTCGTCAGTTTCAAAGGTTAATATTGAAAACTAATGGGCCATTCCCATCTGTACCGGGTCGGCCCGGGCCGGGTAGCCCCAGTCGGCCCCAGCCTGGCCCGGTTGATTCCACACATCCTTGCCTTAAGCCCATGTGGGCTGGTTCTACCCACCAATCAGAGGCTTGCTCTAATGGAAGGTGTGAATTTGCTGTCAGCAGTGGGTGTGTTGGCCCTGGTCGGCCTGAAGCAGACCCCCTCGAGAAGAGGGCTGAGAATGAGCCTTGGTTGGCCCAGAAAAATACCAGGCCACCCAGATATGTAAACAACCTACGCTACCCGGCCCGGGCTGACC